TGGACGTTCGGCACCTCTACGGCCTTGAGTTGGATGTTGGGCATCTCAGCACCCTGGAGATGGACGCTGGGCACCTCCATGGCCTTGAGTTGGACGTTCGGCACCTCTACGGCCTTGAGTTGGATGTTGGGCATCTCAGCACCCTGGAGATGGACGCTGGGCACCTCCATGGCCTTGAGTTGGACACTGGGCACCTCTACGGCCTTGAGTTGGATGTTGGGCACCTCAGCGGCCTGGAGACGGACGTTGGTCACCTCCATGGTCTTGAGTTGGATGTTGGGCACCTCTGTGATCTTGAGATGGATGTTGGGCACCTCCACCACTTGGTGATGGACACCGGACACCTCGGTGTCTTGGAGATGAACACTGGTCATCTCTGCGGTCTGGAGATGGATGCCGGGCACCTCTGTGACTTGGAGATGGACGGTGGGCACCTCAGGGGTTTGGTGATGGGCACTGGGCACCTCTGCGGCCTGGAGATGGACATTCGTCACCTCTGTGGTTTGGGGATGGATGCTGGGCACCTCAGTGGCTTGCAGCTGGACAGTGGTCACCTCTGCGTCCTCGAGATGGACGCTGGGAACCTCCACGGTTTGGTGATGGATGTTGGGCACCTCAGTGGTTTCGAGATGGACACTGGGAACCTCTGTGGTCTCCAGCTGGATGCTGGGCACCTCCACGGCCTGGAGCTGGACATCGGGCACGTCCATGGCCTGGAGCTGGATGTCGGGCACCTCCGTGGCCTGGAGATGGACACTGGGGACCTCCGTGGTTTGGAGATGGATGTCAGGTACCTTGGTGGTCTGGAGATGGACATTTGTCACCTCTGCGGTCTGCAGCTGGACGTCAGGTACCTCTGTGGCCTGGAGGTGGACATCTGTCACCTCCGTGGCCTGGAGATGGGCGCCGGACACCTCTGAGGGCTGCGGCAGGGCTTGCAGCTGGATGTTGGTGACGTCCTAGGGTTGTGGCAGAGCGTGGAGCTGGATGTTGGTCACCTTGGAGGGCTGTGGCAGGGCTTGGACCTTGACATTTGTCACCTCGGTGGCCTGCAGCTGGATGTTGGTGACCTCCGGGGGTTGTGGCAGGGCTCGGAGCTGGATGTTGGTGACATCCAAGGGGGGTGGCAGGGCTTGCAGCTGGACGTTTGTCACCTCCGCAGCCTGCAGCTGGATGTTGGCGACGTCCGAGGGTTGTGGCAGAGCGTGGAGCTGGATGTTGGTCACCTTGGAGGGCTGTGGCAGCGTTTGCAGTTGGACCTTTGTCACCTCGCCGGCTTGGAGCTGGATGTTGGTGACATCCAAGGGCTGCGGCAGGGCTTGGAGCTGGACGTTGGTCACCTCACCGGCTTGGAGCTGGATGCTGGTGACATCCAAGGGCTGTGGCAGGGCTTGGACCTGGACGCTGGTCACCTCCGTGGCTTGGAGCTGGACATTTGCCACCTCGGAAGCTTGGAGTTGGATATTGGTGACCTCCAAGGGTTGTGGCAGGGCTTGGA